ATGTCATGTAAGGACCTAGTTTTGTTTTAGTTTTTTATTTTTATAACTATGAAGTTATTAGCAGTAGCACAAGGATTATGTTTTTGTAGTGATTAGGCTCCGAAGCTGCAGTAGCAGTGCAAGGACCTTAGTAATTAGGCCCCACATCTGCGGTAGTAGTGTAACTGGTTTTTGTAGCAATTAGACTGCAGTGGCAGTACAAAAACCTTGACAATTAGGTTTCGCGGCTGCGGTAGCAGTGTAAAGACCTTGTTTTAGGCTCCATGGCTACCGTAGTAGTGCATGGACCTTCACTAAATGGGTTGCAGGCTTGTGACTGAAATAACAGTGCAGTGTATTTAAAAAACCCAGTTTACTTCTGGCCACCATAACTCAAGCCTGTATATACCTGAATACTTACATGCATATGCATAAACTTTATTGACGCCGATCGTACTGGTCCTGCGCGCACCGCGTGCTGCGCAGCTATCTTATTTTATAAGTTAATTATTGAGCTATGGATGTTTTTTTTGGTTTTTTTTTTCAATTCATTATGTTACACCTGATCTCGCGATCTGATTGGTTAATCACATTGCGGCGATCATCGCCGCAGGCGATAAATAGCAAATCTCAATTTATAATTATTAAATTTATTATTGGATTAAAAGACTAAATATGTTTACAGTAAGTTAGTATAATTAAATATAAAAAAATTTACAATAGAGCAATAGAACAATAAAATGCCAACGTTGAATTATAATATAATCATTTTACAATGCTAAAAAATTAAAAATTGTAACACAGTTTAAAATAGTTTAAATGTCATAAATATCAATTTACGTGATTTCAGGATTTTTGATTTGACGAGATTATTTTAGTGAAAAAATCTTTTTGCAAATAATCTCTATTCATGAGCTGCGTATTAAATGCGCAGAATCATTAATACGGATGCGCAGCATCCACATAAAATATCAGAACCTATAATAGGGATTTAATAATTTTTTTCACCACTTCTACCTGATTGGTTCTATTAATTACCCAACTATGTGATTTTATCAAATTTGACAGGGCGTAGTACTGTAGTATCGATTTTACTGTCACATAATGCACTGAAGCAATGTTGTTGGGTTAAAGACTTCGTTTATATTTGATTAAAGTCTTAAGGTTAGGAAGGGGAGTAATATAGCAAAATTACACAATAATTTTGAGATAAATGCGGTTTTTGCAAAGTGCGTTTTAAATTTTTTTACGTTACACCTGATTCTGATTTTTAATTGGCTGATAGACGTCGGAAAATCATGTGACACTAAATCGATCATACGCCCTGGCGTTTGTCATGGTACTCCAATAGGGGAAAATTAGTAAACCCATTAGGAAATTAAATCCGACCATATTTCGTGACGTTATCTTAAAAATCTATCGCTATTTATGGCGTAGTTCAAATCAAAAAGGATGGCAATTACAGGTTTACTATTTTTCCCACTATCGGAGTATCATTAATAACATAGATACTCCGATATGTGAATAATTAGTAGAACCAATCACAAGTGGTAGAAGTGGTGGAGAAAATTAGTAAACCTGGGCGATTAACTCATTGTAATCAACGTAAAAGGTTGACCGCATAAAATTTCTTTTACATACGCCGTGATTATGTAATCAGGATTATTCAATATATTAAAATATAAAATCTCATTGAGCCCATCACTATTTGAATTTTTTTTTAAAAAATTGTTTTCAATGTCGTCTGCCAATTTAATTCTTTTAGAAACATTTATATTTGGTTTCGTAACTTACATACTGTATTATTATTATAAATACTTTACTCGTCCTTGCCCGCTTCCAGGACCAATTCCATTGCCTATAATTGGTACATGTCGTTATTTGTTTCCGTGTAATTAATACCTTATTAATTGTGTTTTAATTAAATAGGAAATCTTCATCAATACTCTGGTGATGATTCAGCCTCGGCAAAAATACTTCAATCAATTTATGGAGACATGTGGGAAATCTACAAGGGACCCGTAAGAACTGTGTGGTTAGCTAGAAATGATTTATTTGAAAAAATATTTAGCCCTTCTACAAATAATGCATTTCTTATTCGTTCAGTATCAAATTCTGGTCTTGAGGAATTTAATACTACTAAGATTGGTATGACGTTTAATAACGATTTAAAGGAATGGTCTTATAATCGTAAATTTATGAATAAGGCTATTATGTCACCTAATTTCATTAAACAAGTCGTTGAAGGAACTCAAGATATTTTTGAAGGGATGGAAAAATGTTGGCAAAGTCTTTGGAAAAATCTTGGAAATGATCAAATTTTTGATATACAGAAATGGATATTACTTGCTACTTCCGAATCTATTATTTTTTTGACATCACACAAAAGAGCTTATTCTGTAATCGATTATTATAACAAGTTATTACCTACCAAAAAATTTGATACCCCTGTTGGTGCAATAGAAGAATCTGAAAATTATATTGCAAGAATAAGAAACTATATTAGAGCTATGGAATTTTTTTTCACTACCCCAAAAATTATTCGAATTCTTCCTGGTGTTCGACAATATGCTCGAAGTTTGATTAATAATAGAGATTTGCTATACAAATATTTAACTAGAATAATTCAGGAACGCAGAAAAGAGATCGAAAAAACTTCTGATAAAGAATCTTTGACATCAGATTTATTAACATTATTCTTGACTGCTAATACATCTCTCGATATATCGAATGTTTCTGATGAAATGCATACGGAACCTATGACCGATGAACAAATTTGTGGCAATCTCATTGAAGTTTTCGCCGCTGGAACTGATTCAGTATGATAAAATATTTCTTATAAATTTATTTTCAAATTTGTTACATTATCATTATAAAAATTTTAATCTGTATATTCCTATTTTTTTTTTTTAGGTCGCAAATAGTATTACTTTTATCATCTATTATCTGGCACATTATCCTAAAGTAAAAGAACGTGTGGTTAAAGAGTTAGAAACTGTCTTTGGACATGATCCAAATTATCGTTTCACTTCAGAAGACTTGACTAAATTAAAATATTGTGAAGCTGTTATCAAAGAAGGTTAGTTACCTAAATTACAGAATTAATCAAACATTGACTTTGTAATTATTACGATAACGCATTACTAAGCTTTATATGTTCATTCATGATTTGATATTACTTTTTATAGTTTCAAGAATTTACCCTTCAGCTCCAACAACTTTTCGTACATCAACTAAACCTGTCGAAATAGATGGTCACCTTTTCCCTGCAAATTTACAATTTTTCATTTATATTGAGGGTGCTAATAACCATCCTCGACATTGGACTGATCCAAACATCTTCAATCCAGACCGATTTCTTGATGGTTCAAATAAAACTATCAACACTTTTGGTGGTGGATTACGCATGTGCCCAGGTCGAAATTTATCTATAATAGAAATTTTAAGTTTTATGGTCTTGTTGTACAGAAAGTATGATATTGAGTTAGTTGATATGAACGCTCCTATTAAGTATAATTTTAATATTATTAGGCAATGCGTAAAAATGGATGCTAGAATAATTCCAAGAAAGTTTGAGTAAATAATGCTTGAATGATGTTACTTATAGTTAATAATTTGTGTAATATAAGAAAATAGCACACAGGTTCCAGCATCACTCTGGATTTAAATTGTTTGTTTTGTTGAAACTCCTTTGGGGGGAGACGATGTAAACTTAAACAATTTGGTTATTATAAAGGCTAAAATCAAAGTCAATTATATTTATATATATATAATTACTAGCTTTGTTGGAAACCCAGAAAATAGTTTTTGCATTATTTATACAAGAATTATTGTAAAACATGAATAATTTTATCACATATCATAGTGATTGTAATAAATTCTTTATTATTATGGTTTTACGTTCCATTACTAATATAATTACAAAAAATTTTATTATTTGTTTCGATTTATTCAATCATCCGTACTATAATTAAACAAATTCTTATATTATTATTTTAACTTACTAAAACATTATTTGCTACATAATAATCCCAAAATTTTTTCTCTTGGACGACCTTTTCTTTTGATGGTTTTATTTTGTTCTTGCGAACATGTATCAGTTTGAGATAACTGGTTAGACAGATTTAAAGATAAATTTATAAAATCGATTCATCAATCATGTTAATAAAATCAAGCCAAAAGAGATTTATTACGGTATATATATTAATTTCATCATTATAGTTATCACTTTTGTTATGAATGTTATAATAATTTTACTATATTATGTAATTTAATTATAATAAATCGCAATCTTTATGGTTACCAAACTATAACTGATAATATTTTCGAAAAAAAAATATTTTTGCATTTAAAATTGAATTACATCCCTAGTTGAATGCATATTATATCTATCCGAGTATATAACGTTACAAAAAATTTAAGCCTGCCTGATTATCTCCTCATTTTTGTATTCTAATACTTTAATAAGTTCTTTAGTAATTCTGAAAAATTGTGTATTTATTATAAAAAATTTGCCTCGGGATTCTTTTAAGAGCTCCATCAAGAATGGTACTTAAACCTTTTTTTTTTCCTATCCAAAAATATACCATTGGAATATATATGTGAATATAACAATTTAAAAACCACTATAACTAAATTTTGTGTAAAAAAATTTTTTTTAATGTGTTGAGCCTCGAAATAACGCGATACACTACTTATTTTGTCTTTATTTTTAATAATTAGATATTTATTAATTTTAATCTTATTCTATCAATTATTAGCATTAATTTAATATAATTGAACAGTTCATGTTTAAAATATTTCACTTATAATTAATATTACTTTCCTAGAATTTACTACCTACTTCAAATTTTTTATCGCATTATGTATTAAATGTTCAATTTTACTAAAATATCCCCATTCTTATTCTATTAACAAAATATCACCATTCTTATTCTATTAATAAAATATATTATAAACTACATAATACTGTAGTATATCAATAAAAGAAAACACGGTGTGTAAGTGGTGCCCAACAACTATTTAATTGTAATTAATGGGATTAGCAGCAAAAAAAAAATAAAAATAAACATGACTTAAATATTAGCATTAAAAATATTCAGGTATCAGTAGCGAACTTTTTTAGGAACTAAACAACCTCTATCTAAACAACGAATAACCCCACCTTCATAGGCTCTATCAGTTACAGGTTGTTGTGGTTGTGCATATGTTTCACAAATATCAGGTGAATCTACATGTCTTTTATTATGGTAAATAAAACATTGAAGTTTACTAAAATCAACAGCACCTCCAATAGGACTTTTTCCATAATCCCATTGAATACAATTTGGATCTTTAATACATTCTTCACAACATTCTTCTGAAGAATGGATATTTGCTAATATATGCGCATCTTGAAGAGCAGGACCGCGAGTATCGTTTTGCCATCCTGGACCACCGGGTCCTTTGCAGCAGTCTTTACGAAGTTCATAAACCTGTTCATAACCATGTTTTTGCTTATTGTTGAAAGCATTTACAAGAATTGCAAATGTCAGTAAATATGAAAAAAAGATCAAGAACAAATTAAAATTTTTGAGATTCATTGTTAAATTCAACATTAATTTGCGGATTAAATTAAAGACTTTTCTAAACTTGATGTGAAGAGAAAATTATTTATTATTAATGATAAGTAAAAAAAATTCTAGCTTTTATAAAAGTTCAATAATATACATACGTTTAATCGTTATTGATCTTTAAACTGTTTCGCAAATTTGATATGCATGAATTGTGCTCTAATTTGGTCCAATGCCACTTCAAAGTGCCTGAAAATTGCAACTTTATAAGAGATAAATAATGTAGTTGGAGTTTACATTTAGAAGTTCCATTTAAAGAGATGTCTGGCTGTATTTTTTATTTCATACATACAAATATACGCATAAATTTTTTACGTACGTACGTATACAATTTTGTAGCTCTTCAAATTATACAAAACTATGCAAAAAAGTATAACACAATCACAATGAATAACTATAACGAATCATTCTATTTAGTTTATATATAGTTAGTTTTATTAAAATGTTACCCTTACAATTACGTACATGTAGTGATGTGCCGCGTATAGTACAGTACGCAAAAAAATTTTTAGAATATTCTAGAACAAATTATAAAACCATTCATATCTCAAAAGTTTCCTTATGAAACCACCTTTTGTATTCTAATTAAAATTACTCCTTGCAAAATTTTGCATATAGATAGTTTATATATCATACGTGTACTATACATATTGCACATGCTATACACACTATACGCACTATACGTACTGTACGTACTGTACGTACTGTACGCTAAAAAAATCTGGATATCATATAAATGGCACATCACTACGTACATGCATCTCCACTAGAGACTAGCTCTTAGGCCCTGGCAATGCTCCGAGGTCTTGGTTTTAAATTTTTTTTTTATTTTTATTAATTTTTAAGTTTAAATAAACTCAACTTGGATTTATTTGAACCTAGGTTGGGTTCAAATAAACCGAATTGGGTTTACTTAAACCCGGATTGGATTCAAATGAATCAGATGAATTCTGTGCCAGGTTTGTGGCGCAGTTTTACAATTAACAAAAAATTTTAAAGTTCATTGTAGTTAGGGTTAGCGTTTAAACTAAGGTTAAAGGTTAGGTAATTATATAGTAAAATCGCTGGAAAACTTTTTGTTAGGGCACTAAAGGTGGTTATTTTTGAGAAATAAGCGATTTTTGACAAAACGAACGTTTGTTTTGGAATTTGCCGATCGTGTTACATTACACCGTGATCTTGAAATCTGATTGCCATAATGCGTGTCACTTGAACCTGATTGGGCTCAAATGAACCCGACTTGGGTCCGGTTGGGTTCAAACGAACTCGATTTGGGTTTACTTGAACCCGGGTTGGGTTCAAACAAACTTGATTTGGGTTCACTTAAACCCGGGTTGGGTACAAACAAACCTGGCTTGGGATCACGGGTTGGTTTAACGAACTTGTATATTAGAATCGGTATCTAACCAATTACCCCACCCTTAAACCGATTACTTTTTTTGTGATATTACATGATTTTATTTAAGATTGTACCAATCAAATCAACAATAAATTGATCATTTGCATGTTTATTTATAATTTTAATATACTGCTAATAAATAACGATATAATATATTTGTCAAATGACAAAAATCGAACCCAACTTGGGTTCACTTGAAACCGACTTGAACCCGGGTTGGGTTTAAATGACCCCAACTTGGATTCACTTGAACCCGAGTTGGGTACAAATGAACCCGACTCAAATGAACCCGACTTGGGTTTACTTAAACCCGGGTTGTGTTCAAATGAACCCGACTTGGGTTCACTTGAAATTTGAACCCGGGTTTTTTTCAACAACTTTGCATTTCATTTGGGTTTTGCAACATGCAAAAGAGGTTATTATTGTGTATTAATGGTAGAATGATGAAATGTGATAAAGATCTACTCCAGCTTCTGGTGTTTTCTTTATTAAAAGAGAATTAATAAAATTGACTAGGGAGTTACAATATATTACATAAAAAACTAATTAGATCAATAGTCAATCATGAAGAAATGAGTATGAAAAAAATTGTTTTATTCTCGTAAATGGATATTATTATTCTATACTGTATTAATATAGAAGTATTATAAATAAGATTACAATTGAAGATTATATTATTCTTGTCAATATCCAGAATATATTGAATTTATCCAAATTTTCTGTGTTATTGTTTTTCAACCGGATTATTTAACTATCAAGCAAGAAATCATAGATGAGAATCAGATCGCATGGCTAAGTTTTGAAATTTTAAGCAATGGAGTAAAAGATTCTTTGATGAATTAGCTACAGACAAATCTTCCTGACATCTTAATAGAAAATATATTTAACCAAACTAAATAATTACTAAACTTCTTAAAGGATAAATTCTTTATACTTATTACGTGAGTTGATTGTTAGTTAAATTCGATATACTGTATTTATGTGTAATTACATTAGCATCACTAAGAGAATAAGAAATAAAAATAATTCATCAGAGCATATTTTATTAATGCTTTTAAATTATATAACTTAATTTTTTATTGTTAATATATGTTGCGGCTGAAGCTGGAAATTTTAAATATTTTATTATGAAATTTGCAAAATTTTTTGGGGTGCATTTTTTTAGCTTTTTTTTCATGGTTAGATTAGGATTTAGGGTTAGTTTTGATAATGAAAGAGTATAAGTGGATTTTGGCAGGATTTATATTTTTAAATCAGGGTCCCTGATTTCCAGCTTCAGCCGCTTCCAGCATCAGCCGCGACAATATATATTTTTGCATGTCTAAGACAAACCCTCTGAGAACTTCTGATTCAACCTGATCGGGTTTCACCTGTGTTTTCCAAATACCTTTATTAATGTCAGAATTAAAAGTATAGATCTTAATCTCCGGTGAATTTGTAATTAAGTCTATGGAGATTCACTCCTGAATAAACATTATAATAGTAGTTAACCAAAAAAATATAACTAATAACCAATTATTAATTATCATTAATTTTCTTACGTCTACACCTACATTCACCCAGCATACTATTATTTTGATGCAGATACTAAGAAAAATCGTGATAAACACAACTCAATGATGAAACGGGTGATTTTTTTTTTTGGCTTCATCGGTTAAAGAATCTCATCTGCAGTAATGAAAATATAAATCAACAATTTGTAAAGAATGAAAACTATCTTTATATTTAATAACATTCAAAAATCTTGCTTTGAGGAGACAATAGCAGCATCGGGTGATAGAATAGTAGATTTAATGGAAAAATCAGGACTTTCCAGTTAAGCAATCTGAAAGCACCCTAAAATCAAAGTAATTGGTGTATTAATAACATAAAGAATAATTATTGTGTTTTGTAATATACCTGCGAAGAACTATGGATCTCAACTGAACTTTTATTGGCTTTGCACCACCAGTAAACCTGGTCAATAATTTCAAATTCTCTGTCACCTAATTATAAATTTTTATTATAATTTAGAGCTATCTATTGATATTCAAACTCAATATATTACACAAAGCATAACAGTTAGAAGTAAGAATAGTTGTCACCACAACCAAAGAGGTTCAAATCCAATACAAATTTTGTAAACAATGAGAGGTGAAAAGAAAAACGCAAGCAATGTAAACAATGTGAGGTAAAAAATAAAACGCAAGCAATATAATACATCAATTAACTTTATTAAATATTAGGTAATAATATCAATATATTATAAAATTCCCAGAGTATATATGTTAAAAATCACGAACAAATACCACTTGTCTTTGGACAGTTGCTAACATTTGTGTAGTAACTATTGTGAAAAAAAAATGATGACAGCTTCAACTGCTTTGCATATGAAAAAGTTTTTGAAAGAGCAATCAATTGAAATATCATTTTTATACTCATTGTCCTATCCTTTTTAATTGGTAATAAAATGTTAAACTTTGTCAAATCTTTAACTCTTCCAAAATGCCCTTTTTGTGCTACGAGTTTAATCAAGAATTGTTCTTTTTTTTAGGTTAGAATTGTTATATAGAAAATGCAGCGTACATACGTAATACATTTATTATGTATTAGCTCACCCGTACCATACTGAATATATGTATACTCTATAATATATACATATTGTAAATTCATCAGATTTTTAAACAACTGTTTAGATGCATCATACTTTCAACTTCTTTAAATTTATCTGATAGGATTAAAAGTCAACTTGTTAATTAGATCGTATTTGTTGTAATTATTGGTTTTATTGTGAATAATACAATGTTCAAAATGAATAATATTTGTAAATATATTGGTTTTATATTATGGGAAGGGTTCTTTGGATTTTAATAAAGAATTTTTTAATATATTCGTCAATATTATTATTTCTGCATACAAAAATATGTACAAGGTTGGCGACGCAGCTCTCCTGAAATACGAATCATATTTCAAGATTTGGTGTAATATAACACGATCAGAAGATTCAGAACAAACGTTCGTTCTGCAAAAATCGCCTATAGCTCAAAAATCAGCATAAGAAACAATCTAACAAAAAAGTTTTCGTTAGACAATTTTACTATAAACTATCCCTCTCTAGATCCTAACCCTTACCCTAACCTTAACGAATTTAAGAATTTTGTCTGCACTGCCAGCCTTGTACACATTTTCAGTATGCTTAATTTCTTGCTATTTGACTATTGACCTGATGATAATGTATTTTAACACTGAGCCAACTTTGCAATAACTTTAGTTGGACCGGGAATATTGTTTTCTAATTGAATCTCAAAGAATATTGTTCAATTTAATGCTATGCGAATTATAAACCTTTTTCTGAACAAATATTTTATGATTTTGTAATAGAGTCTCTGTTGTGAAGGCTAATGCATAGTTTGTTACTTTAACTTCTTATATAATACATGATAAGACTCTGCCACTAGTTATTGACTTTTAACTCGATTAAGTTAATTATCTTATATCAAGTGAACAAGCCACACTAACGATTAATATAAAGCTGATGATTATTAATCTAAGTTCACTATTGGTCTAGTTATTTAATAACTGTCAATTATTTTCACTGTTCTGGGAATAATGCATTGGTGAACATTTTTAAGTGAACAATGAAATATGTATTTAGAGATTAAGATATAATAAATTGAAATTTTAAATAAACATTAAATAACGAAGTAGTTATTGGCATTACTTGATATATATATTTTTTGATTTAGTATAAAAACATTATTTATTATGACCTACAATATGAAGATGAAAAAGTATTTATAAATTTTGTGTATAGCAGCAATCCACAGCCTGATGAAATAAAGTTTAAAAGAATTAGATTCGATAGATATTTTAATTATGTCAGTATGAGCTTAAATTTTTAAAAGATTTTTGATAGATAATAACTAAAATTAATGTAAATTTTACAAGTTAGTAGAACCAAATAAATAGAATGTACAGTATAAAATAACAACAAATAAATGAATAAAATACTATGTATATTTGCGTTAAAATTAAACTTGCATTATAGTGAGTTTGTCAATAAAAATTAATGTAGATATATATATTTATTTAACTTTTTAATTTTTTTGCTATTGAAAAGACCGAATTAATAAGCCAATTCCCGGAAGTTAGATTCTTTGAATGTCTTTTATAACAATTTATTAAATCTTCATGATTTTTAGTCAGATGTTCAGATTTTAAACGGATGCCCATGGGAGAATTCACGGATATTCCCGTAGTTATTGAATGATAAATATTTAACAATACAAACTTACATTATATTATAATAGGAACACTAGATTTAGGTAGCGTTCCCACAAAAATGACCAATCAAAATTTAAGATCAGGTGTAACGTGATAGTA